TCCAGGTCACGCTGAATGGCAGCACAGCCTTCTGGTGTATCTACCACACCTCCCAGTTTGGTGTCATCAGCAAACTTGCTGAGGGTACATTCTAACTCTTCATCCAGGTCGTTGATGAAGAAGTTAAACAAAGCTGGGCCCAGTACTGACCCCTGAGGGACACCACTAGTTACCGGCCTCCAACTAGACTCAGCGCCGCTGATGACAACCCTCTGAGTTCTGCCATTCAGCCAGTTCTCAATCCCCCTCACCGACCACTCATCCAGCCCACACTTCCTGAGCTTCCCTAGGAGGATGTGATGGGAGACCGTGTCGAAAGCCTTGCTGAAGTCGAGGTAGACAACATCCATGGCTCTCCCTTCGTCTACCCAGCCAGTCATGCCATTGTAGAAAGCTATCAGATTGGTCAGGCATGATTTCCCCTTGGTGAATCCATGCTGACTACCACAACCCACCTCCATTTCTGTCTGCCTGAAGAGAGAATTTAAACGAGAATGGGCTGATCTGCCTACCCCATCAGAGACGCATGGGGCCCAGCAATGGCCCAAACAAGTCTGCTGAGAGAAAGTGTCTGCCGTAACTGGACACCCAGGACCCCACTGGAGATCTGGCCCAGTGGGCTGACACCTTCAGGGGCCAGCGGTGGCTGTGTGACGTGGCTGAGCAGTGCTGAGCAGGTCTGGGGGACCCCACCAGAGAGCACACATTTTACGTCCTTCTGCCTCAGCTCTTCTCGATGCATTGTTTCAGAGTGAAGGTATCAAGTTGTTAAGTGAGATGCAAATTTTCGCATTTGCTGTTGTAATGGGAAAACACAAGTGTTCAGTATTAGATGTATGCTAAGTTAAACAACTCCAGGGCTGGAGGAAAGAGAAGTGTCTGATGGCCAGAGCTGGCAGTTGAAGGGCTTTTGAGTGGTGTTCCGCCTCCTGCCAGTGATTCACTGCATGGCTCCAGGCAAGACACGTAACCAAGCTGAAACATTTTCTTCCAGCTGCAAAAGAGCTGTAACGCCAAACACAAGGAGGGCCTCTGAGGTTGAACTAATTCCAGTTTACAGAAAGCCACAAGGTCCTTTCTAGGAAGCTGCTGGAGAAAGGCGAGTATTACAGCATTTCAAACTGCTGTTCATAAAAGAGCTCTTTGGCTTCACCTTGGTGAAAAGCAATGCCTGGAACTGCCTCTGCAAAGAGCCCCAACGAAGGGGGCTGGGACGGGTGGGAAACGCATGGGAAGAGGATGGGAAACCGCAGCAGGAGAGACAGAAGCAAACTCCACTGCTTCTTGTTGCTGTGTCTGGAGGTGGCTCGGGCGGGCGGGTTATGGGATGTACCAGTGGAGCGCGAAATGTCCCTGCTCGGAGGGTTGAACAGGCTGGAGAAAGCTTGGTGTAAAGAGAGAGATGCGAAGGCTGCTTTTATATAGGGGGAAGAAAAGGAGGATGGAAATTATGTCTGGGCCCTTCTAGCATGTCTCTCTTGAAGGAGGAGGAGGTGGGGAAGACTGCATGCTCCTCTCAGGTACTGTGCTTGGTCCCATTCCTTGGAAAGAAATAGGGACCCGAGGAGTTGTCCGGAAAGTGGCAAAGCCTGCAGGCTGGGCACCGGCGCTCCACGGTGCTGCGTGCTCCGTGGGGGAGCCGTGGGACAGGACACACTCCCAAATGTATCATGAGGTGGGAGCGGGCTGTGAAGCTGCCTGGTGACAGAAGTTGTCCAAGCACATCTTCGCTTGGGGCAGTGAGGGGCGTGCAAGATGATGGTGCTCCTGACCAGCTCCTGTGCTGGCTGAAGCTTTCTGGGTCTTCAGTGACTAGCTGATGCGGTTCCCCTCTGGGTGATAAAGCCCGGCTGATGGAAAACAAAGCTGTCAGCCTCCTGGCCACTGGCAGGGAGGGCCCCACGCCTGCTCCTGGCCGAGGGACTGCCAAACAATCCGAGAATGTCTAGCCAAAGCGCCAAAAACCTTGAATGAGACAAACACCTAATCCTTTCTTAGCTCTCCCGGTGCTCCCCTGTGTCAGCGAGTGCTGTCCGTGTCTGCGGGGCTGGTTTTCCTTCCAGCCCAAACCCAGGGAGAAGCCAG